AAAATCGACTGCCAATCCACTACGCCGGTTGTGAGGTGAGACCTGCCTCGCAAAAGACATGCTGAGCACATGGCAGACACTGTCACACATCTGACACTGCTGGCTACGTTACACAGAGCCTCTGAAAGAGAATCAGGAGCTACGTCAGACCACTGAGGACCTCAAGAAGCGCTAAAAAAGAACAACAAAAACAGCACAGAGCCTCAATCACCCCACTGTCTCTTCCTAGAGACCGACGAATTGAAAAGGACACAGAGACCTCAAAAAGGAGAATCTCGAGCTGAAACTAGAGACCGACATAACGCTGAGCCTGATAAAGGCAGAAGTGAAACAGTTGAGGGCTAGCAAGTTTGGCTTTCCAATGAGTTTCGGGTCCAAGATAATCAGGGAACGTGTTTTCTACCCGCCCTTTTACACCCATTCCTGTGGCTACAAATTGTCTGCCGAGGTTTCCCTGAGGGGAACGCACGTGTCGATCTACACATACATGATGGAAGCGATTACGATGACCACCTGAAATGGCCGTTCGAAGAGTGATACGGTCCAGATGTCAACAGACTGGAGACCACAGCCACATCGAAGAAGACCATCCTCTACGACGATAAGGCGCCGCTTTTAAACGTAGGTGGTCGAGTTTTGGGCACGCACAGATCGTCTTGTCGAATTATGCCTCGCTCTTCTCTTTCTACAACACTCAACAAACACAGAGTATGGAAGGTGGCTTTATAGTACTTCGCGTAACAAAAGTAAAAGTAACTCTTCTTAAATCTCTCTTGTGGTTTTCCAGTATAGTCAATGCAACACTATTCGACGGTGGTGTCATTATGTTCCATATTATAACGAATCAATAAACTCTCTTCATTTATCTCATTCCAGTATCATTCATCGGTTTATCTGTCCCAGTATCTTCATCAGTTATGTTTTATGTATACACATTCAATGACATCTAGATACACTGTATGAAAGCTCGTGATAAACTTCTTCATTTTCTCCGTGTGCAGTGTTCGTCTCGCGCACAAGTAAACGCTTGTGCATTATGCACCAAGGTTTTTAGACGTGTCGTCACATTACGCATGCGCAAAAGCAAGGACGAGCCGATGCTTCAGCGCTATCTAGCTAGCTAGCTGCGCGGAGAGCTACAACAGAGAGACGTCAGGCAGCAGCCATGGCGGGCCCCGAGTTCGGAGCAACTGGAGCTACTCCTCCGACTGGTGTCGCCCCAATACCTTGTCTTGGTTCCAGGGAGGACAGCGGCGGGTACGACTGTGAGTTCCTTGAACCGCCACCGGCCGCGCTACAGACCGAGTGCCCAATTTGCCTACAAATCTTGAAACAGCCGTGCGTTATCAGCTGCCCCTGCGGACAGAAGATCTGCTACGAGTGCGTAGAGCGGATAGAGAGGGATAAAAAGCCGTGTCCGCTGTGCAACAAAACGAACTTCACGTTTATTCGAGACTACGGACTAGAGAGAGCCTTCAAAGAATTTGATGTTCAGTGTTTCGGAAAGAACGACGGCTGTGAATGGAGGGGGAAACTTGGAGAATACGAACAGCACCTGAATAGCAATCCGCCTTCAGAGAACCAGCTGACTGGGTGTCAGTTTGTGCCAATAGAGTGTGAGCATGGGTGTGGGGAGTGGTTCCAGCGTCGCCACATCGCTTCCCACCAGAACCAGCACTGCACGAAGCGACCTTACTCCTGTAAGTATTGCCAGAAATTTGAAGCAACTTACAAATACGTAACAACGTGCCATTACTACGAGTGTGACGATTTTCCAGTCACGTGTCCCAATAAATGTAGAAAGGATCACTTCAAACGGCATGCTCTTTACAAGCATGTAAAAGACGAGTGTCCCCTTACAGAAATCGACTGCCCACTTCACTACGCTGGTTGTGAGGTGAGACTTCCTCGCAAAGACATGCCTGAGCACATGACAGACACTGTCACACATCTGACACTGCTGGCTACCGTTACACAGAGCCTCCTGAAAGAGAATCAGGAACTGCGACAAACTGTGGAAAAGAGGAACTCGACTGCGGATAAGCTAATAAAAGAGAACCAAAAACTGGGACAGAAAATGAAAGATAGAGAATTCAAAGTGTCAGCTGTCAACCAGAGTTTGCAAGCACACAAGAGCGAAATCCAAAATCTCAAGGATGAAGTCCAGAAGTTGAAATTTCACAAACTGGGCCTCCCTTGCGATTTCCGAATCGAAGACAAAGATGGTGACGTATATTTGCCTGGTTTTTATACGCACTCCAGCGGATATAGAATGTGCATTAGAGTAGTTCCAAGAGGTCTCGGGAAAAGGAAGAGGAACCCACATGTCACTCTTTGTGTACCTACAAAAGGGGCAGTTTGACGATCACCTGAAATGGCCTTTCAGAGGAGAGATAGCTATCCAGATTGTCAACCAGGATGGAGACCACAGCCACATCGAGAACAGCATCATTTACAACGATGCAACAGTAGAAGATTCTGGTAATAGAGTTGTGGATGCTAAACGGTCGCAAGGATGGGGTTATAACCAGTTTTTTCCTCGCTCTGATCTTCAAAAGAAGAACACTCAGTACTTGAAGAACGACATCATCATTGTCCGTTTAGCGAAAGTCACACTCTTGTAACATCATGTGTTCTGTTTACACAGAGGACAACAGAACAAGACAAGCGCACTATTCAGTTTATTCACATGGTCTTGTGCGTGAGCATCAGTAGTGTGATTAGCCTTCGTTCCCGGGCTCCCGCGCGCGCGCGTACGCATGCGCATGACGCGCCTTCCCACGGGGGGCGCGCGGCCGGCCGTCCGGCCGTGTGCGTGCGGCCCCCTCGTTTTCGCAGCAAAATGGCTGCTGTTCCATCGGAGCAATTTTTATCAGACTCTGAGATAGACCTCCATAGTTTCGGTAGATTCAGTCCTGTTCCGTACGGTTGGATTGGGGACCGCGGTGGATACGATTGCAAATTCGTCGAGCCACCGCCCGCGGCGTTTCAGACCGACTGTCCAATTTGTCTTCACGTTCTGAGAGAGCCGTGCGTCATCAGTTGTCCCTGTGGACAAAAGATCTGCCGCCAGTGCGTAGAGCAAATCAAGGAAGACGACAAGCCGTGTCCTCTGTGCAACAAAACGGACTTTACCTACTTGCGAGACTACGGACTAGAGAGATCTCTTGGAGAATTTGAGGTGTGGTGCTCGCACAAGAAGGAAGGCTGTATATGGACGGGGAAACTTGGAGAATACGAACAGCACCTGCATCAAAATCGTTCTCCAGAGAACCAGCTGACTGGGTGTCAGTTTGTAGCGGTAGAGTGTGAGCATGGGTGTGGGGAGTGGTTCCAGCGTCACCACATCGCTTCCCACCAGAACCAGCACTGCACGAAGCGACCTTACTCCTGTAAGTATTGCCAGAAATTTGAAGCAACTTACAAATACGTAACAACGTGCCATTACTACGAGTGTGACAATTTTCCAGTCACGTGTCCCAATAAGTGTAGAAAGGATCCCTTCAAACGACATGCTCTTTACAAGCATGTAAAAGACGAGTGTCCCCTTACAGAAATCGACTGCCCACTTCACTACGCTGGTTGTGAGGTGAGACTTCCTCGCAAAGACATGCCTGAGCACATGACAGACACTGTCACACATCTGACACTGCTGGCTACCGTTACACAGAGCCTCCTGAAAGAGAATCAGGGGGTACGTCAGACCACTGAGGACCTCCTGAAAGAGAATCAGGAACAGAAACAGACAACTGAGGACCTCAAGAAAGAGAATCAGGAACTGCAGCGAGAAGTAAAAGAGCTCAGAGCTCAGAAGTTGGGGCTACCGGTCGAATACCGTATCACGAAAGGCAAAAGGAAAGTCTATTTACCCAGCTTTTTCTCTCACTCCCATGGCTACAAAATGTCCATTTTTGTGTACCCGGATGGAATTGGAAATGGTAAAGGAACTCATGTGTCACTCTTTGCCTGCCTGATGCGAGGCGAATACGACGACCACTTGAAATGGCCGTTCAGAGGAAAGATAACGGTCCAGATAGTCAACCAGGCTGGAGACCACAGCCACATCGAGAAAATCATCCCATACACTGATAAGACACCATCTACTGGTGCTGGTAGAGTGACCGACAAGGAGAGAGGTGTGGAGTGGGGGTTTCATCAGTTCCTAGCTCTCACTGATCTGGAGTACAATGCTGAGAATGACACCCAGTACTTAAGAGATGACATAATCATAGTCAGAGTTGTTACTGTTTCGTTTTGATAATGCCATGTAATACATGCATTTTGAAATGTGCACTGTCACTATTTAGAGTGCCATGTTTTACGACTGCAGTATATACACTGTTACGATAATGATGTAAACATGATCTAGACCAGTATGTACATAGTATATACCTCTAAACACTGAATTAGATGCCCCTAATATACTCAATATAATTATGTACATATATGTGCAGTGGAATCTCTTAACAAGGGATACTATAGGGCCAACTATTTTTGTCTTCTGTAGAGTGGTCTCATACTTGCCAACCGTCCCACATTCCGCGGGACTGTCCCGCAAAAATCAGTGGCGTCCCGCTGTCCCGCAGCAGAGCCTTATTGTCCCGCGTCCGACCAACGCTCCGCGCCACTGTATATAATTATATGCGCAGGGAGTTTATAGCTTGATGCGCATGCGTACGATGTGGAGAGACTTGACATTTGTACTTTAAACCCTCGGCGCGCATGCGCAGCGAGGGTTACCGTAAGTGTGTCAGTCAGTCAGTCTGTCTGTTACCACGTCTTCTGCGACTACGCGTATAACAACTGCGTTCTAAAGTTATGGCGTGAAACAAGCCAATATGCAAATTAGCGCAGACTTACCTCGACCGCGTCCGCTCGCTCTGTGTATCTTGCAGGCACAAGAAGTCACAACGAAGGGCGTGTATCGACACCCGCATGCTATCTACTACTATACCTAGCCCGTGTCAGACTCTCCGCGAGCTACTACCGGGATACCGCGAGTAAAGATACAAAGCCCAGCCCATAAATTAGTGCTACCGCGCATGCGCAGTTTCGCCGAGGGTTTGCACTTTAGTGCTTTTCATTGATATTATAGTGTTTCTGTCCAGTATTTTTCCTTTATGTCCTGCATTTCTGAACAAAGATTCCAGTAAAATAAATTTACATGGTTGGCAAGTATGTGGTCTTGTGGGTGAGCATCAGTGTGATTGGCCTTCGTTCCCTGGCCCTTTTTGTTACGGGATCGCGGGCGCCCGCGAGCGTACGCATGCGCAGGACACGTCTTAATTACGGGGGCGGGGGGAACTCTGCGGCCCCCCCGCGTTTCGCAGCAAAATGGCTGCTGCTCCATTTTCATCGGACGCTGAGAGAGACGACGGTAGTCCCGCTAGATTCAGTCCTGTTCCGTACAGTGGGATTGGGGACCGCGGTGGATACGATTGCGAGTTCGTCGAGCCACCGCCCGCGGCGTTTCAGACCGACTGTCCGATTTGTCTTCACGTTCTGAAGGAGCCGTGCGTCATCAGTTGTCCCTGTGGACAAAAGATCTGCCGCGAGTGCGTGGAGCAAATCAAGGAAGACGACAAGCCGTGTCCTCTGTGCAACAAAACGGACTTTACCTACTTGCGAGACTACGGACTAGAGAGGTCTCTTGGGGAATTTGAGGTGTGGTGCTCACACAAGAAGGACGGCTGTGAATGGAGGGGGAAACTTGGGGACTACGAACGTCACCTGAATGAAGATCCATCTCCAGAGAATCTGCTAACTGGGTGTCAGTTTGTAGCGATAGAGTGTGAGCATGGATGTGGGGAGTGGTTCCAGCGTCGCCACATCGCTTCCCACCAGAACCAGCAGTGTCCAGAGCGGCCCTTCATCTGTGAATACTGCCACGAATACGAGTCAACATTCGCGGATGACACTGAAAACCGTTATCCTGATTCCATGTAATACATGTGTTCATGTACACTCATGACAATCAGTGTGTTGATGTAATAACCAAAACATCTATATAAACATCTTTCAACTGTAGTGCATAGGTATTATACTACATCTATTAAAGAGATGATGGTACCACGTCTGTCATGCAGGTGGTGGATTTAGTGCGAGACGGACTCAACGACACGATGCCAGAGTTTGGCGAGGAGACCAACAGAGGAGAGAGCGTCACGGACGCCTGGGACTTTGTCCAGGAGAACGTGAGCCAGTGATGCGTGGTCATTCACAGTGGCGCGATCGAGTTCATTCCTCCAGCACTTCTGGGAAGAGTTTGCACATTTCCTTCTCTATTGTGTTTTGGGGGAAATCCTAGTGATTCTGCACAATTAGCTATACATAATTAAGTGGTCTTCACAAAAAACTAGCATTTGCAAAACCCTATAGGTGAAGAACACCATAGAAAATTTTGCGGGGAAAATTTTTGCCTTCTATGTTCTGAGAATACAGCACACGGAAAACCGTGTGTCTTGTGAGGCATGCATACAGACGGATACGAGCCTGAGGCCATGAAAATCCATTTGCTTGGAAAGGAAATTTAACCAACTCTGCTCATAAATTATATGTCTCTCCCTGCATATATACAATAGTTGGAGTGTTGTGGGATCAACAACTATACAGACTGGGCAGACGATCCCAACGTCAACAGCTATCCCGCGAGTTGCTGTTCAAACGACCCGGTGGTAAACGCCTCATCTAACCTACCTCCTTGCTCACTCACCAATGTCTACCAGGATGTAAGTCACAAAATTGTCTATCTTTTTCGGCTTGTTAATACTGAGTCTAATGTCATTTCCACCTGCTTACCAATGTATGTATGTATGTGCTGCTTTTTACCATTAAAAATTCTTGTCTACTCTGTGTAACTTTTTTTGGCTTTAATACTTCGGCTTCTACTTTCGAGTATCGTTTTTCCAGGTCTACTATTGTATGTGGTGCTGCTTTTCTTCTTTTCTGCTGCTATTAATTTTGTCCACTGACAATCGCATTTAGTTTTTGGTTTTGCTCCATGCTTCCTTCATGTGAATTGTGACCTTACGCGCGGAAAAACAGGCATACATCGGCAAATTAATTCGAGATTATTCCCCTGATAATCGTTTGGCTCACGAATCATCAACCCACAGTCTCCCCTAATGTATAGTACATTTCAACACAACAATTAGTTTGTTAAGTTTCTTCTTTTTATCTATGCATTCACACAGGGCTGTGAGGATGCTCTCACTACATTCATAAGAGACAATCTTCTAGTGGTGGCCTCTGTAGCCATCACCTTTGTCGTCGCTGAGGTAAGATTAATTTTTCTGCATGTCACACATGCATTCTCATATCCCTTTGGACGCCATGGGTATCTTCTTAAATAAGCAGAAAATGATGTATAAAGTATTAGTGCCTAGTATTATAACCCCCATATATATAAATTCTTATGGACTTCTGGAGGCTCTGGACACATTTTTGTGTCCGTGGCTGGTTAAGTGATATAGGCTAAACGAATCATCTCTTTACTCGTGCAACTATAATATAGATTATATATACATAGTATGTAGTATAGTAGATAAGAGTAAAGTATATATTTTTGGTTTCAAGGTGATTGTGGTACTGATGGCTATATGTCTGCTGTGCTGCACCGACTTCGACTGAGGGGAATAAAGCTAGACCCCTATCATTATTACCAGCCATGAAAACTATACTCTAATTATAGATGAACCTCCACATATCATAATAATATTCACAATCAAGTGTAATTATATCATTTCATGTAACACGATTTTTAATCTCTTTAGTGCATCACGAAATTAACAATTTTTAAATCTATGCAAATTATAATAATAATATCGGAGGTGAATACTGAATAGACACCCACGTATTGAACCAGCGGATATAGAATGTGCATTAGAGTAGTTCCAAGAGGTCTCGGAAAAGGAAAAGGAACCCACATGTCACTCTTTGTGTACCTACAAAAGGGGCAGTTTGACGATCACCTGAAAATGGCCTTTCAGAGGAGAGATAGCTATCCAAATAGTCAACCAGGCTGGAGATCACGATCATTTCGACCACAGTGTCATTTACAACGATGCAACAGTAGAAGATTGCGGTAATAAAGTGGTGGATGCTAAACGGTCGCAAGGAAACGGTTATTACCAGTTTTTTCCTCTCTCTGATCTTCAATACAACCCCAAGAAGAAAACTCAGTACTTGAAGAAGAACATCATCATTGTCCGTTTAGCGAAAGTCACACTTTTGTAATGTCATGTGTTCTGTCTACACACAGAACAACAGAACAACACAAGTGCACTATTCAGTTTATTCACATGGTCTTGTGCGTGAGCATCAGTGTGATTAGCCTCGTTCCCAGGCCCGGCCCTTCTTGTTACTGCGGGCGCCCGCGAGCGTACGCATGCGCAAGACACGCCTTAATTCCGGGCGCGCGGGTGTGTGCGGCCCCCGCGTTTTCACAGGAAAATGGATGCTGTTCCATCGGAGCAGTTTTCATCAGACGCTAAGATAGACGACGGTAGTCCCGTTAGATTCAGTCCTGTTCCGTACGGTGGGATTGGGGGCGGCGGTGGATACGATTGCGAGTTCGTCGAGCCACCGCCCGCGGCGTTTCAGACCGACTGTCCGATTTGTCTTCACGTTCTGAAGGAGCCGTGCCTTATAAGCTGTCCCTGTGGACAGAAGATCTGTCGCGAGTGCGTAGAGCAAATCAAGGAAGACGACAAGCCGTGTCCGCTGTGCAACAAAACAGATTTCACCTACATCCGTGACTACGGACTGGAGAGATATCTGAAGGCCCAGGAGGTGTGGTGCTCACACAAGAAGGACGGCTGTGAATGGAGGGGGAAACTTGGAGAATACGAACAGCACCTGAACGAAAATCCGTCTCCAGAGAACAAACTGACTGGGTGTCAGTTTGTGGAGATAGAGTGTGAGCATGTGTGTGGGGAGAGGTTCCAACGTCGCCACATCGCTTCCCACCAGAACCAGCACTGCACGAAGCGACCTTACTCCTGTAAGTATTGCCAGAAATTTGAAGCAACTTACAAATACGTAACAACGTGCCATTACTACGAGTGTGACGATTTTCCAGTCACGTGTCCCAATAAATGTAGAAAGGATCACTTCAAACGGCATGCTCTTTACAAGCATGTAAAAGACGAGTGTCCCCTTACAGAAATCGACTGCCCACTTCACTACGCTGGTTGTGAGGTGAGACTTCCTCGCAAAGACATGCCTGAGCACATGACAGACACTGTCACACATCTGACACTGCTGGCTACCGTTACACAGAGCCTCTTCAGAGAGAATCAGGAACTTCGACAAACCGTGGAAAAGAGGGACTCGACTGCGGATAAGCTAATAAAAGAGAACCAGAGAATGAAAGATAGAGTTAACCAGAGTTTGCAAGCTCACGAGAGCGAAATACAAAATCTCAAGGATGAAGTCCAGAGGTTGAAATTTCACAAGCTGGGCCTCCCTTGCGATTTCCGAGTCGAAGACAACAATGGTGACGTATATTTGCCTGGTTTTTATACGCACTCCAGCGGATATAGAATGTGCATTAGAGTAGTTCCAAGAGGTCTCGGGAAAGGAAGAGGAACCCACGTGTCACTCTTTGTGTACCTACAAAGGGGGCAGTTTGACGATCACCTGAAATGGCCTTTCAGAGGAGAGATAGCTATCCAAATAGTCAACCAGGCTGGAGATCACGATCATTTCGACCACAGTGTCATTTACAACGATGCAACAGTAGAAGATTGCGGTAATAAAGTGGTGGATGCTAAACGGTCGCAAGGAAACGGTTATTACCAGTTTTTTCCTCTCTCTGATCTTCAATACAACCCCAAGAAGAAAACTCAGTACTTGAAGAAGAACATCATCATTGTCCGTTTAGCGAAAGTCACACTTTTGTAATGTCATGTGTTCTGTCTACACACAGAACAACAGAACAACACAAGTGCACTATTCAGTTTATTCACATGGTCTTGTGCGTGAGCATCAGTGTGATTAGCCTCGTTCCCAGGCCCGGCCCTTCTTGTTACTGCGGGCGCCCGCGAGCGTACGCATGCGCAAGACACGCCTTAATTCCGGGCGCGCGGGTGTGTGCGGCCCCCGCGTTTTCACAGGAAAATGGATGCTGTTCCATCGGAGCAGTTTTCATCAGACGCTAAGATAGACGACGGTAGTCCCGTTAGATTCAGTCCTGTTCCGTACGGTGGGATTGGGGGCGGCGGTGGATACGATTGCGAGTTCGTCGAGCCACCGCCCGCGGCGTTTCAGACCGACTGTCCGATTTGTCTTCACGTTCTGAAGGAGCCGTGCGTCATCAGTTGTCCCTGTGGACAAAAGATCTGTCACGAGTGCGTGGAACAAATCAAGGAAGATGGTAAGCCATGTCCGCTGTGCAACAAAACGGAGTTCAGCTTCATGCGGGACTACGGACTGGAGAGATCTCTTGGGGAGTTTGAGGTGTGGTGCTCACACAAGAAGGACGGCTGTGAATGGAGGGGGAAACTTGGAGAATACGAACGTCACCTGAATGAAGATTCGTCTCAAGAGAACCTGCTAACTGGGTGTCAGTTTGTAGCAGTAGAGTGTGTGCATGGGTGTGGGGAGTGGTTCCAGCGTCGCCACATCGCTTCCCACCAAAACCAGGAGTGTCCAGAGCGGCCTTTTACCTGTGAATACTGCCACCATTACGAGTCAACATTCACGGATGTCACTGAAAACCACTATCTTGATTGCGAGCTGTATCCAGTCACATGCCCCAACAAATGTCAAAAAGATCCTTTCAAGCAGCAAGACATTGAGAAACACATTGAAGACGAATGTCCCCTCGCAGAAATCGACTGCCCACTCCACTACGCCGGGTGTGAGGTGAGACTGCCTCGCAAAGACATGCCTGAGCACATGACAGACACTGCCACACATCTGACACTGCTGGCTACCGTTATACAGAGCCTTCTGAAAGAGAATCACGAACTGCGAAAACAGAATGAGTTGCTGAAAGACAAACAGAATGCTACAGAGAAAGAAGTTGAAATTCTCAAAGAAACACTCCCAATGAAGCTCATGGTGGGAGGATTCCCTGTTGATTTCCACGTCAAGTATGACAAAGACAAGGAAAAAAATTATTCACCTTCCTTTTACACCCACTCATCTGGCTACCAAATGCGCATTCAATCATATCCAAATGGGTGTAAAACGGGTAAAGGAACTCGTGTATCATTATTCACACAGCTAATGCAAGGTCCATACGACGACCACCTGAAATGGCCGTTCAGAGGAGAGATAACGGTCCTGATAGTCAACCAGGCTGGAAACCACTGCCACGCCAAGAAGACTTTCCACTACGATGATAAGATACCGGATGCCAGTGCCGGTAGAGTGACAAACACAGACAAATCTGGAGGGTGAGGGAGACAAAAATATATGGCTCACACTGCCCTTGAATACAATGCCACAAAGAAAACCCAATACTTGAAAGATGACATCATCATAGTCAGAGTTGTTATTGTGTCGTTTTGATAATGCCATGTGATCATTTTGAAATGTGCACTGTCACTATTTAGAGTGCCATGTTTTACGAATGCAGTACACTGTTATGATAATGATGTAAACATGATCTAGACCAGTGTACATAGTATATACCTCTAAACACTGAATAAGTGACACTGGATGCCCCTTGCATTAGAGTAGTTCCAAGAGGTCTCGGGAAAGGAAGAGGAACCCACGTGTTACTCTTTGTGTACCTACAAAAGGGGCAGTTTGACGATCACCTGAAATGGCCTTTCAGAGGAGTGATAGCTATCCAGATTGTCAACCAGGCTGGAGATCACGATCATTTCGAGAACAGTATCATTTACAACGATGCAACAGTAGAAGATTCTGGTAATAGAGTGGTGGATGGTAAAAGATCGCAAGGATGGGGTTATAACCAGTTTTTTCCTCGCTCTGATCTTCAAAAGAAGAACACTCAGTATTTGAAGAACGTTGTCCGTTTAGCGAAAGTCACACTGTTGTAACGTCATGTGTTCTGTCTACACACAGAACAACCGAACAACACAAGCGCACTATTCAGTTTATTCACATGATCTTGCAGTGCGTGAGCATCAGTGTGATTAGCCTTCGTTCCCAGGCCCTCTTGTTATCGGGGCTCCCGCGCGCGCGCGTACGCAAGCACATGACACGCCTTTTCCCGGCCCCCCCCCCCCTGCGCGTGTGGGCAGCAAAATGGCTGCTGTTCCATTGGAGCAATTTTCATCAGACGCTGCGAGAGACGACGATAGTCCCGCTAGATTCAGTCCTGTTCCGTACGGTGGGATTGGGGACCGCGGTGGATACGATTGCGAGTTCGTCGTGCCACCGCCCGTGGCGTTTCAGACCGACTGTCCGATTTGTCTTCACGTTCTGAGAGAGCCGTGCGTCATCAGTTGTCCCTGTGGACAAAAGATCTGCCGCGAGTGCGTGGAGCAAATCAAGGAAGACGACAAGCCATGTCCGTTATGTAACAAAACGGAGTGTAGCTTCATGCGGGACTACGGACTGGAGAGATATCTGAAGGCCCAGGATGTGTGGTGCTCACACAAGGACGGCTGTAAATGGAGGGGGAAACTTGGAGAATACGAACGGCACCTGAATCGAAATCCGTCTCCAGAGAACCAGCTGACTGGGTGTCAGTTTGTGGAGATAGAGTGTGAGCATGGATGTGTGGAATGGTTCCAGCGTCGCCACATCGCTTCCCACCAAAACCAGGAGTGTCCAGAGCGGCCTTTTACCTGTGAATACTGCCACGAATACGAGTCAACATTCAAAGAAGTTACTGAAATCCACTATCTTCATTGCGAGTTGTATCCAGTCACATGCCCCAACAAATGTCAAAAGGATCCTTTCAAGAAGCAGGACATTGAGAAACACATTGAAGACGAATGTCCCCTCACGGAAATCGACTGCCCACTCCACTATACTGGTTGTGGGGTGAGACTGCCTCGCAAAGACATGCCTGAGCACATGACAGACACTGTCACACATCTGACACTGCTGGCTACCGTTACACAGAGCCTCTAAGAGAATCAGGAACTGCGAAAACAGAATGAGTTGCTGAAGACAAATGGATGCTACAGAGAAAGAAGTTGAATTCTCAAAAGAAACACTCCCATGAGCTCATGTGGGAGGAATTCCTGTTGATTTCCGAGTGAAGTATGACAAAGATAAGGTGGAATTGATTTACCTCCCTTTCTCACCACACTCATCTGGCTACCACAACTGCGCATTCAATTTATCCGCATGGTGTGGAACTGAAGGCCTCATGTAGCATTATTCACACAGCTAATGCAAGGTGCATACGCCGACCTCCCTGAAATGGCCGTTCAGAAGGGAGATAACGGTCCCTCCGATAGTCACCAGGCTGGAGACCACGCCAACGTTCCGAGAGACCATCACCCCTACATTGCGTAGAAGTGACAACACTCAGAGAAATCTGGAGGTGGGGGAATCTCAATTTTATGTCTCGCGACTGCCCTTGAATATTCAACGCTGCAAAGAAACCCAATACTTGAAAGACGGCATCAATCGTATCAGAGTTGTTAACGTTCTATCACGCCATTATATTAAATTTTAGTTTAGTCCTTTCTCTGTAGAGATGTCTACAATTGCTATTGCTATATATCGTGCTTGCGGGAAACAACGGGGGGCGGGGGGGAGGGGGGGGAGCATGTTATATACAAATGCGGTATATATTACAATTGCTATGTAAACATTATCGACTGCTATGTAAAAACATGATCTAGACATGGTACCGTCTAACTCTGATGAAAAGCACTTGAAAAGTGCAGAAACCCACCCTCGCCACGTTATATTCTTTATTTCACATTTTTGTGCGGGCCAACTATTTTGTCTCTTGTAGAGATGCCGTCCCTGTCTCGGATCTCAATAATAGTATGGGGTTGAAGTGTCATTTGTAGGAGTACCCGTCCTTATCTCAGTGGTGTCCCTTATCGAAGGTTCCACTGTAGTTCACTACGTATTTATATATAATTATGGTGTTAACAGGACCTATGCTCAGAGTATTACTGCTAGACTGTGATCAGGTGGTGATTTGTTCGAGATGAATCAACGACACGATGCCAGAGGTTGGCGAGGAGACCGACCGACTGAGAGAGTCATCACTGATGCTGGACTTTGTCCAGAGAACGTGAGCAATGTGATCGTGGTCATTCACAGTGGTGATCGAGTTTATTCCCACACAACGACCAATCTGAAGAGTTTGCACAGTTCCTTGTTATTCATTCGTTTGCAAATCCTAGTGATCTGCACAATTAGCCATAAATATTTAGTGGTGCTTCACAAAACTAGCATTTGCAAAAGCTATAGAAAGTGAGAGACCATGGAAGCTGCGTGCGTGTTTGATATTTCCCCTCTACATAAGATACGTACATCAGTCCGAGAATGCAGACAAGAAAACGTGTGTCCTGTGAGGCACGACACAGACGGATATATATTACGAGCCTTAGGCCAGAAACTCATTGCTAGGAAAGAAAATTTAAGCTCCACTCTGCTACTATTGTCATAACTGCACATAATGATCCCCTCTGTTCCACTCTCCCTGCATACATAGTATGGAGTGCTGTGTGGGATCAACCACTATACGACTGGGCAGACGATCCACACGTCCACAGCGTGATCCTGCGTCGACGCATTGCTGTTCAAACGACCCGGTGTAACGCCTCTTCTAACCTGCCTCCTGCCACTCACCAACGTCTATCGAGATGTCAATAGTCGCAAAATTGTCTAGCTTTTTATAGCTTAGTTTTTACTGAGTCTAATGTCATTTCCACCTGCTTATTACATGCACTTCACATCATCACCATTATGTCTACTCGCATGTGACTTTTTCGTCGACTTATAAATAATACTTAAGATGTTACTTACTACTACAGATTAATTGTGTTTTTTCACCTGTGTATTATTGTATTTTGCTAACCACAGTATCTTACTAATCTCACAATTTTCTGCCACAATACCTTTCCTGATTACATCAAACCCCAAACCACACCCACGTTTTCTCCCCTACATTATTCACCACACCGACATTTTTGTTTTGCAGTTCACTTTATCTATGCATTCCACAGGGCCATGCGATGAGACATGCTCTCACTCATTCATACGAGACAATCTTCTAGTCGTACAGCCTCAGTAGCCCTCACCTCTTTGTCGTCGCCGAGGTACAATTTTCCGCAAACAAAGTCACAGCTCACCTGAAACTCTCTCATTCCGCAAGAGAAAGATAAAAATAGCGTATAGTGCTCAAAGGAATCATCGCATCTTTACTCGTGCAACTATCGAATTATTACATTTACTGTTTGACACTTGCGTGAGTTCATTAAAGCAGTCGACGTAGCGCAAACTAGTGGCGGTATTTCCATTACATATAATTCCCATGGCGACAACTATATCCACTTTACGTGCTTTATGGAAACTGTGAACAGATGAACAGACAATGAGTTCTGTCATCATGTATTAGCACCGTACGTGGGCCGGTGACGGTCTTGCATTGCTAACACATAGATTCATTTATATTC